AACGGTGAAACTAGCCAACCCGTCCCTAGTAAAATATGTACAGCATAATGACGATTTCTATCGACGAAGCGAGCCGATTAATCAGTGCTGTTCCTTGTAACATTAGTAGCATACCTTCATAGTTACTGCTAAGCCAATAGCCGTGAGAATGGTAAACACTTATATTGATTCCAATTGACCTTCAATGAAAATGGTAATACCATTGTCATTTTTTACTGAACAAGATGAAAAATAATCCTTAATTGTAGACATATCCAGCTCTCTACGTATTCTAAAAGCTACTAACTTCTATAAACTTTAAAAAATTATGGTAACAGTCTTAACAAATGTCTAATTACAGTAAGCAATTTATTCTTCAAACTGCTACGAAGCTATCTTTGTACTTTATCTATATTAGCATAAATACAACATTCCAACAGCAAGTATGTTAAGCAATTTACGAAATCCAAAATTGCAAGTGAGAAAATCACCAACAAGTTTGATTTCAGAATTTTAATTGCACTGGAGATCGCAGGAAATGCTGGATATGTCCATTGTGCTTTAAATTGATCACATTCGTACTCCATAATTATTGTAAAACCAGTAAACTCGGGGCTTAAGACAAATGTTTCAAACATTACTATCTTCATATATGTCTTGTACGGTTTCTTACAAATTAGATTCCACTCCTTGGGCATCTAAATCTTCACTCGGTAACAAATTGTACCATTTGCAACTCCCATACAAGAGAGAGGCTGGAGTAATCAGCTGTACATTGTCAAATTACAAGATATGGTATCATAGGGCACTACTGCCAGGCCTATCGAAAGCTTAAGAGAAATCCGTAAAGATTACCTTCTTCATTCACACCGGATACCCTTACAATGTGATCCGTATCATTGAGAGCTTCCCATCATGAATCATTGATGTTTTCTACGAGATCTGTTCTTAGTAGAACAATTAGAGGGTATGGGCTATCGCGATGGCCCGCCTCATAAACATCTCATTAGGTTAGGTTAGGTTACCACAATTATCGTCTTTCAACCTGTTGCTACAAGCTCCTGTGTATGTATGTGACCTTATGTCAAATTAACTACGTATGCAATAACATGCAAATTGGTCGTTTCAGTTTGTCTGTCCTTTAGTATTTATAAGGTGGTTTGATAGAATTGTGATGTCACTAAGTTATGGAAATATGGACTCGCGTAGTTGGATGTAAATAGAAATTCAGTTAGAAATTGAAATGTGCAAAGTTCTGCTCGTGATTTACCGTGGAAAAGTTTTCAAAGTTAATCAACATCAATATCTATTCAAATCTAAATCAAACAAATGAATATTTATAGATTTGAAAATTGGTCCAGTGAATAATGAACACAATTAGTCACAGAGAACGAGTTCAACTACGTACGAAAGCTTTCTATCACTGCTATAGGAGCTCCAAATCAAAACAATGCCAGGCGTATCAAGTCATCAACCATCATTAGCAATTCAGATAGACATGAAACTGTACCAGTACTTAACGACGCAGGCATCGAACTAACATAAGTACTAGTTGCACCAATATTAAATTCATGCCTTCACATTACATCACATTGCAAACAAAGTACACGACAGGAGCCAGGGCGCATAACTAGTATAAAACAAACAGTATTTATGAATGTCTGCGACGGATAATACGCCTCTAAATTGTACCTAATGGCTACCAGTTTATATAGAATTAATATTGTGTATCTGATACATGGTGCCTTTGATTTAATATAGCCACTAGAGGAAACATTTAATATTAATAGAGAAAGTTGTTTGCTGTTTACATGTTTTGTTTTCGAGATTTTTTTAATTGAGAGGACATAACATAACATCTAGTCTTTTAATCACCGCACTTAATATTACTGTATGTAAAATGTAACACCCACTTTTCACTTTTTATGTTATGAGTCCTATGTAATAGGGGATGATCCTATTGCCATATATCGGGCACAATCCCAGACTCCGTGCTAGTACTGAGATTTTTTTATAAAGCCAGTACTTTATCCGACTTGGGAATCGAACCCGGCCAACGAAGCAGTCAATGATTGAGAGGAAAAGTTGTGAAATTACTTCAGAGTTGGAGGAGGGTAAGTTTTCTGTGTTAGTAGTAACTCTCGTTGAGTGGTTTTCTTTTTCGAAGTAGTCATAAAACAGGACACAAGAATAGAACTCTCGTTTTCCTCATAGGGGTCCGTTGTTTCCTCAACTATACGCCTAGTTTGTTTATGCCTTTAACTCTTCGAGTACCGGTTTTGTAGACACAATTATAGAACAATAGGTTGCGGTCACCGGTGACCGCTTGGTATTTGACAGTTTAATATACGATAGGAAAGATCACTTTTTGTTTCCAATCACCATCAGCTTAGGACATAATTTGAATGGAGTATCTGACTCAGTATAATTATTACCCTGGCGTCTAGACGTCCTTAATATTACGATTATTCGATTTTGCTTTATGCCTCTAAAATGACCTCTAATATTTTTAAACCTCGAAATGCACCTCATTTAAGTCCCAAACAGCTTTCTTCTAACAATAATCTACTTCATTCACTAACTTGTTTGTTATCCTAAATCCCACCGCTAACGGCGCCTAGTTCTATGAATCACTGCATTGCCCAAACACCGCCAAACGCCAAAAAAATACCCCTTTCCTGACATAAATTGTTTGAACATGCATTTACTTCATCCATTTGAATTTATAACTCCTTTCTAAGGTGTTACCGTCTAATTTATCGCTATATTTGTGACAAAACGACTATTAGTTTAGGGGTTAGTTTATAACAACCCTGATTTATTGCCATGATAAGAGAATTATTTGTTAAAAGATTTAGAGTTTCGCTTCAAGGGGTGCTGTTTTTCAATCGTTTGAGTTGCAGAGGTCACAAACGTCTTAAGCTTAGCAATGATCTGTATACTCAAATGTGTACTTGTTTGATTTAATTGCATACAATTTAGACCTGTTTAATTTTATAATATGTGACTTCTTCGTTAGTTGAGTTGACAGTGCTAATCGGTTCAAGAATAGATAGATATCTAAATGTGTTATTTCAATTCCTAGTCGTCAGTAGGTAATATTGTTGCCCGCTATTGCAATTTAAACTAATAATAACTAGCTAAAACTTTTAATTTACTACACAAAAACATGAACATTCTCAGCTACCAACACATTTGTCAATAGTACTCAAGAGTAATCCTTCTTCAGACCAACAACTGACAACGTATATAATACCCATTATTTCCTGCTGCGACTTGTCTAAACAAACACTAATGATAGAATACCACCAGCATCAGCACTCAATCCGAAACGACTGCATTAAGATAGATAATACGTGTCACATCACACAGCGCTATTGTCACAATTTTGTGAAGGAAATAACTTGGCCAGTGTAGCTTGAACTACGGTGGGATTTGGAACTTTAGTTAATACATATATGGAGTTTGCTGTAGATCACTAATGATTTAAATGGTGTTATTGTTAAACTTCAATCAACTGGTTTAGTGTTTTAATCGCCGAATTATCACATATCGAGTATTATATTTGTATATTACATTCCTTGCATCTTTCATTCCACAAAGGTGTAAACTAAAGTTTGTAGTAGGTAACGCAACCCCCCCTTTTTTATAGTATTTTGATTGTTCCAAAGTTTGTGCTGTAGCTGAAAATATAAAAAAATGGCCCAAAATCCCTTCGCCAACGTTCTTGTATTCATTTTACAGCGCCATTGTCACGGTTCAATTTATATTGGTCGCTTAGTGTGAGCCGAACAAAAATAGTGACGCCAAATTTAGCAAATGTCCTCCGCATTAGTTTTCGCCTTAACCGAAAATATTATTTTAAGCGCAAACGAACGAGGGAAAATACTTTTGTTCCGCGTATCTTGTTACTAGTTTCCACTTCATTTATTTATGGAATTCTTAGCTTTGGCTGTTTGATTGTTTGACTGATTGACTAACAAAGTCGTATTGTTCAGACTAGCGACTATTCTGTGGTGAGTAAATCTTTGTAGAGTAGAGTTAGTTGAATATAACAATTGTTAAAGGACAAAGATCTTGTTTTTGAGGGTCTTATCACACGGTGCTTGAAAATGTCTGCAATATTTTAGAATGTTATTTTACCAAAAGGTATTTATTAGATGCATTATATCTGCGGCACACAGCTACTATCTGTGACGTGGTCTACCGATAATACTTACTGGCCCAACCAACATAAGCACTATTCAAAAAAACAAACGATTATTAATCGCACGTCTACACTCCAAGTTCATAGATGAAAATAAAATGTATCGATTGATTGATATCAACAAGGAGTGCATCGACCCGCCCTACGATACAAACCGAACACATTACTCACTCACCGACTGTGCCAAAACACGGAACTGATAGATTCCATCGATGTTTTCCTACAAGTTATTAATACTCTTAGTTACACCTATAGTTAATATTATCTTATAAATACTAGGGCAGGGTCTATTCATATACAATCTCATTATAGGGCAAAGCTCTCGCAAAGAAATTAACATTCTACTATCACAAGATATTATACATTGTAAGAATATATGAGAATTTTTTTTAAGTGATAAGTCCACTTTTAATCCCTCCCACTGCAATTCCTGTAGATAATATTAAAATCTAAAGAAACACTAAATCAATGAAAGCCAAAGTGTTCTAGTGACTTCAATTGTTTTGGATTTCGCTACAAAATTAATTCTAAACAGTATTTAACACCTTGAACGCCATGGGGGACAAGGTATGGGCCACGATAGCGGAGGATTTACCTTCAACAGTTTTCTGTCGGCAGTCAAAGGCTTAATATTGTAGTAACCGAAGAAATTGTAGGCAATTTTGGATATTGAAAATTTTAGTAACATTGAACCACAAATTAATTTTCTTGATTGAAGTGCTCAATTTTCGGTATTGAAGTGCAAAATTGGATTCTGCTTCACCTATTCACAATCATTCAAACTTTCTGACCAAAATTATTTTTCCTTTTGCAGCCGGACGAGCTTGCCAAGTCGGTGAAGCTGACATCTCGAGAGAGGCGGTTCATCAAGTTTGCGAGCGTCGAGTATGGAGGACAGCTGTACATGACGCCACAGGACTTCTTGGAGTCTGTGGTGGAACAGGAGCCTAGACGTAAGTCGCCTAGTCTTTAAAGGCTTCCTTTGAAAAGCAATTATACCTCTGTACTTCCCAAAGTTATCTATTTCAAACTGAATCTAAAAGCTGCATATGGTGTAAACGATAACTAGTATCGAGTATATTCCCCGAGTCGGATAAAGTATTATTGTGGTTTTTCTCAGTAATGGCGTACCTCTTCAAGCATTAAAATTCGTAATTTTATGTTATCTTCCATTAATTTACTCCACAGCTCGGTTAAAGCGCCGTGTGCTGACCACGAAAGAGATAGAACACCTGCGCGACAACACGCCGGCCCTCAAGAAGGGATCCTCGCAGATGTTCCGCAACATGAGGGACAAAGGTATGCAAATTCACTTCCTATCTAATGTAAAGAAAATTGGTTTAAAATTTTGTCTATTATGTACCTAATTAGTTAAAGAGTGATAAGTTGTGTCTTTGAGCAAAATTAATGGAAAAGATTACTTAGAAAACGGTCTTTTAATTCTATTATTTTATTTTTTTATTAATCTATGCAACAATGTACTGAGACTTGTTAATATTATTTTAAACTAGCGACCCGCCCCGGCTTCGCACGGGTGCAATATGCATGTATTATACATATAAGTCGCGGAGAACCTAACGGGTTACCGAGGCTCCGCGGAGCCGGAGCTCCGGCTCGAAGTGCAGGATAAGGAACGGGGTCGTTTTTAGTCAGTAAGAGTCTGACACTCCCTCCATCCTCACTCAGGCGGGAGCAGCCGATGATTTTCCCCCCTTAAAAAAAATTAAGAAAAAAATAATTTATAAACTTTCCTTAAAAATCACTCTATCTATTAAAAAAACCGCATCAAAATCCATTCCGTAGTTTTAAAGATCTAAGCATACATAGGGACAGACAGACGGCGGATAGCTACTTTGTTTTATACTATGTAGTGATCGTAAGGTGAAAAAAATAATAATAAAAAGGTTTCATTGACTACAAAACGTTGACCTAATAATCTCAGTGCATATTCTTGTTCTAATATTGTAGTAACATAAATTTAATATTTCCAGGAATCATCTCTTACACGGAGTATCTGTTCCTGCTCTCAATTCTGACGAGTAAGTATTGCATTCAAAACAACTTCACATGTTTAGAAATTCATGGGCTACTGCTAATGTAAAACAGAGATTTTTAAAGACCACTTGAAAATCAACCCTTTGCATTCAAACGAAAATTTAATATTGCTTACATTTTGGAATTTTGGGGCGACATACAAAACCAGCAAGATGCTAGTCAATCATTTTCTAAAATTTTATATTAAAAAGAAATAAAACTTACGATTTCAATACAAAACACATAACATAACATCATGCCTTTTTATCCTCGAATGGGTAGGCAGAGGTGCACATTACGGCACTTAATGCCACTGTACAATG